GAGATGTGTATAAGAGATAGCTTCAAACGTTAAAAAAATATTTCTTTAAACGTTAAAATAAACGTTTTTTTAATAAAAGAAAGAGCACTTAACCCATTATTTAAATGTTTGTAAGTATTGAGCCTCAATACTTATTTTCTGTAAGGGAAATATATCTATAAAATAATACATGTAAAAGTATTATTTATATAATGTACAAGATAATTGCATATATGTATACAAAAAAAATGTCACATATACATATACATAAGTATTAATTTGTTTTAAATATTAATTTTTGTAAATTAACATCTTTTTATTTATAAGATCAAAATTTTTGCAAATTTTACGTATTGCAAATTATACGTATTGCACAAATTTCTAAAAAAATTTAATTTACATTTGTGAGATTAAAAAAATATTGTGCAAATTAATTATTCAAATTTAAGTGAAAAGTTGGAGAATATATAAATAATATTTGCGCAAACAAGGACACACCTTGACACACTGATAACTTGTGAGTAAATAAAGATAACAGGTTTACAAAACAGGATACGAGTTAATGGTGCGTAAAATATATGTAAAATGTGTATATTACGAATTGGTATAATAAAATTTTAGGGAATTTTAGAATAACTTTTATATTTAATTTTTTAAGATTAAGATTATATATTTAAATATTGAAATATGCTGTACAATGTTAATATATACTTACGTTAGTTAATTGGCCAAGACCCCCCCATGGCTCGTAAACCGATATGTTATACAGATCCTTAGGATACATTTCTCTAAGTGCCGGTGTCCGTTCTCCATGTCTCATTAGCTGTGTTCAATGTACATACATACACTACATTATAATATGTAGAAAATATAGTATGTTTAAATTAAATTAAATATTTAATAATAAGACAAAAAATGTCAGTCAAAACTATACTCTCATTGATTTAATAAAAATATAGGAACAAACTTATATTTTGTGATTTCACATATTCGTTTAAAATTCAATATATGTTTTTATTTTCTCTTAGACAAAATTAATACTAGACTGGAAGTATTAAATTATTGGTTAGTGCTTTTAATATTCAAAATAATTATACTCACTAACGAATTTAATATACTTACAATATTAAATTTATCTTAAGGGTATATGTTTTAACACAATATTAAATTTATCTTAAGGATTATATGTTTTAACACTGCCAAACTGATTTTGTTATTGAGCTTATAGTAAATCCAGTATTATTTTACTTTATTGATTATTAATGCCCTAATATAATATAATTTCTATTGTTTCTTTATATGCTTTAAATACTTAATAACATTATTTTTAATCGGATAAATAAAAACACGTAATGGAAAAAACAAAAGTAATATATGGAACATCTTTGCGGAAATTTAGTGTCAAACAAATATGAAAATGAGTGACATGGCAATTGAAGTGTTAATGTAACAAATTATAATTGTTATACAATTTTTTAATAGTATGTTAACGTGAATTTTAAATGCGAATGGTTACTCACCACTTGAACCAATTCCAAATGAAACTCATCACATTGTCCTAAGGACACAAATATTAAACTTAGTAAAAGCAGAGATGTCTGCAGAATCGTGGCGCGGTTCATGTTTGCGCGATTCGAAGTAGTACGAAATGATTGCGAAAAGTAAGAGAATGTTATATATTTATCCGCTCGAAAGACACATTCCTCGCGAGTTGACTCAGTTGACACGGTTCGCTTAGTAATCGGCTACAAACTGATTAACAATAAAGAGCTTGCTCATTCGAACCAATCTCTCCATATCTCCCTGCTGTTTTCTTCTCTCTCATTTTAATTGACAGCTTTGACAAGACGACTCAATAAAAACTCCGTAAAAATAGATGCTATGACAATATATCTAACCTTGAATACTGCATATATATATATATATAT